TAGGACTTTCTTTAGGCCTATTTCTCAAAAAACCCCCAGTCGCTTTAACCCCCCCCCCCCCCGAACCCGGTTATTAACAGCCCTAGTACATAATACACAAGTGTGTGAATAGAAGGTGTGAGATCTAGAGGACAGTTAGTTAATACGATTTGAGATTCGGTTCACAGTAGTTACTCAACTAAGGGACTACTCTCAAAACTCTTGCGCACAGGTGCGTGTGGTTAGTGAAAGTTAGTTCACGTTGAGTCTTCGTTGCCTCGGATGATGTGTGGTGTGTACTATATGAAATAGATGGCCAGTACCAAGAATAAAGTGGAGCAGTATCATTTTATGAAGTGCTGCTGACTCTGGTGTTTGGTGTTTTTGACTCTTGGTGCATAGCGCTGAGGTTTAGAGCCAGAACCCAACATTACTGGGCCTTGATCCAGCCTCATAATTTCATATTCTGTTGCCGCACTAGGTTGTGGGATACAGTTTGAAATCAAAGTGCAATACGTGTGATCATCGTCTAGCTGTCTGTCTATAGCAGTGGCTCTCAACCTTTCAAAAGCCGCGACCCTTTAATACAGTCCCTCATGTTGTGGCGACCCCCAGCCACAAAATTATTTTCGTTGCTACTTTATAACTGTAGAGTATATGTTTTCAGATGATCTTAGGCGACCCCTGGGAAAGGGTCGTGCAACCTCCAAAGGGGTCGCGACCCACAGGTTGAGAACCGCTGGTCTGTAGTCTATACTCTATTAAATGTGACAAAACAATAAATATAACTTTAAAAAATAACAATTTGGACCAGCGTCTTGTGAAAGAAAGTCACAATTTTATTACAAAATAGAATTCAACAATGCTAAAACTGCAAATGTTAATCTACCATAGCACAATTTATATGATTAAAAAAGTATACATTGTTACAAAAATACATTTGTTTTTACAAAATGTAAACTCACAACCAATCTTTAATGTGGGGGGGGGGGAGTTCAGTGAACTAGGTTACCAAAGCTTGGCGAAACCATCGATCTCTCGGGTATTGAAAGCCCTCTCACGTCCTACTTACATCAGGATAGATACAAACCAATTCCTCTTCCCTCTCTAATATGTCGCAATATCCTACCCAAAATTAAAATAAATTTGCAAACAGGTAAGAGTTAAACTTGACGAAAAAAACAACATGACGCACACTTATGGCATTCGATTAAGCAGAGTATTTGATGCTGCTTGTACACAATGCACACTTATGGCATTGGTTGAAACAGAGTGCTTTAACTTAATGCGGCTATTGCACAATGAACACTTATGGCTTTGGGTGAAAAAGAGTACTTAATGCTGCTGTACACTATACACACTTATGGCATTGGATGGCACAGAGTGCTTAATGCTGTTTGCACACAATGCACACTTATGGCATTGGATGGCACAGAGTGCTTAATGTTGTTTGCACACAATGCACACTTATGGCATTGGATGGCACAGAGTGCTTAATGCTGTTTGCACACAATGAACACTTATGGCATTGGATGGCACAGAGTGCTTAATGCTGTTTGCACACAATGAACACTTATGAACGAACTGGGAGTAGTTTTGCTGTCCATTTATATTTAATTTAATCTTGGTTAAAAAAAAAGTATAGAAATATAGAGAAAATGACAAAAAAAATTCTTTAAACAAAAACAACAACTTGATTTCTTTCTTATAGAGTTAATCTTGATGCAAGCCTATTAAAATAATTGGCTGGGAAACAAAATACGGTTGTATGGTGGATGGGAAATAGAGACTAGTGAATTGAAATCAACAGTTGTAAGATGAATGTGAAATAGACTATTGAACTGACATCAAATGTAAGTCGAGTTGGAAATAGAGACTAGTGAATTGACATCAAATGTTGTATGGTGAGTGGGAAATAGAGACTAGTGAATTGAAACTAAATGTTATAAATCGAGTAGGAAAGTCTAGTGAGTTGACATCAACTGTTTTAAGGCGAGTGGGCAATAGAGACTCGTGAATTGGCATTAACAGTTGAATGGTGAGTTGGAAATACAGGCTAGTGAATTGACATCAAAAGAAATCGTTCATGCATAATACTAATGCTTTCAATTTATTTTGCTATACAAATACATCTATAAAAATGGCAGACCTGACACTCATGGATACAGTTTTAACAAATGTTAGAACCACACAACAGCGAGGTACATACCCGAGGAACACACTCGAGGTACACACCCGGATAAATAGCAAAACACGTGATAATATGCCTTCGGGTGGCGTGCGTGTTCGCCATGACACACATGTGTGCTGTAATTACACGTTTGACAATATTGACATAACACAAGTTACAAAAGGACAGAAGTACCCGTGTACCGGCGAAATGCCAGTTACAAATATTACATAAGTACTCTATGTATAACGGCGTAATACAAGCTACAACAGGACGTAAGTACTCTGCGTTTAACACGGTAAAGAGATGGTGGGGTGTACCACGCAGATGCGCACTTAATTTACAACATTTATACTCCACTGCTACTGCTACCACATCTCCAAGTGTGTGTATACCATAGACAAAATCAACGTCATTTGAAATGAGAAAGTAGAAAACATCTCTTAAAGTGATTTTATCACTTACTTCCTCCGGTAAGATTGTTTGATAATGAGTTATCAGTTTATAGTTATTATTCGCATATCACTAGGAGTCTGTGTTAAGAGTCATTGTTGTATGGGTGTGGAGCAAGTCGCTATTAATGGTCACTCTGTTATTGGAGGAAGGGGGAGCTAGTCGCTATTAATGGCATGGGTAGGTACACCTGGGACCATCGGACACCATCGTCCTGTACCAGCATCCTAAAATAGGCCTTGTATCCAGAATTAAACAACACATGCAGCTAAAAAACAGGGCGTATTTCTGGACATCAGATGTTTCCTTATTGGGTTTTCAGCCCCACCCACTTTTTCCCTTTTTCAGAACCTCCTGAAAACTGCTGGGAAACAAAGTATATAATTCGTGATTATGAGACTTTAGTTAGTAATTAATAGTTTTAATAAAAGTTAAACAGGCATTTAAAAAAAAAAAAAACGACAACTAATTAACGGGCGATTCTCTTCCATTTTGGCCAATGCACATTAGCGTGTACTATTGATTAAGATAATTGAAAAGTAAATCAGTGGAGTTTGAGCATAAATTCAAGTCATAAAAGATGTCACGAAGCTTTCAATCAAACTTATTATCAAGTCTAATCCACCTTCAGTCTTCGAATAAAATATGTCCAGAAAAGGAAGAGAAATGGTTGAGAATGGCCGAGTTTTCATTCAGCTGAATCCACACATGATCTTCGCGCGATAGTCTAAGAATGACCGTGTTACTTCCGGTTCCATGGCGGGCCTGCGCGTCGCCGTGAAAAGCCATCTGATGGTCATTGTTAAGCATCAGCCACCCGTAAGCCGTCTGGTTCTCCATGCTCAGCATGTGAATTGTAAACAGATAGGTTCCATTGACCTGGAATAGATGAATTTAATAGTGAATTGTAAGCAGTAGGTTCCATTGACCTGGAATAGATGAATTTAACAGTGAATTGTAAACAGATAGGTTCCGTTGACCTGGAATAGATGAATTTAACAGTGAATTGTAAGCAGTAGGTTCCATTGACCTGGAATAGATGAATTTAACAGTGAATTGTAAACAGATAGGTTCCGTTGACCTGGAATAGATGAATTTAACAGTGAATTGTAAGCAGTAGGTTCCATTGACCTGGAATAGATGAATTTAACAGCGAATTGTAAACAGATAGGTTCCGTTGACCTGGCATAGATGAATTTAACAGTGAATTGTAAGCAGTAGGTTCCATTGACCTGGAATAGATGAATTTAACAGTGAATTGTAAGCAGTAGGTTCCGTTGACCTGGAATAGATGAATTTAACAGTGAATTGTAAACAGTAGGTTCCGTTGACCTGGAATAAATTAATTTAACAGTGAATTGTAAGCAGTAGGTTCCGTTGACCTGGAATAAATGAATTTAACAGTGAATTGTAAACAGTCGGTTCCATTGACCTTAAATAGATGAATTTAACAGTGAATTGTAAACAGTGAATTATAAACAGTAAGTTCCATTGACCTGGAATAAATTAATTAAACAGTGAATTGTAAACAGTAGGTTCCATTGACCTTAAATAGATGAATTTAACAGTGAATTGTAAACAGTAGGTTCCATTGACCTTAAATAGATGAATTTAACAGTGAATTGTAAACAGCTGGGGTTTCATTCAAATTCAAAGTTTTACATTTTCTTATGATTCTTATCCCCTATCTATTCAATAAATTAGTCAAGTAGGCTTTAGGGTAAAGCTTACCATAGGGTTAGTTATCACCAGTGGCATACCTGGGGGCGAAGGGTGCGACCCCACCGGGCGGCACGTTTGTTAAAAGGTATTACCATTATAAATTTAGATGTGTATGTGGGCGGGTGCAAATTTGTGAATTCGCCCCGGGTGCCGTTTAGTCAAGGTGCGCCACTGGTTATCATGCGTTCTGAAAAGCAACATCGTGTGTATTGGGGTATTTTGGAACAGGTTCATATTTCTCACTTGAATCTACTTTCTAAGAAATGACTTATCTTTTTAAACCGAAAATGTACATAAAGCTTAGCAACGTGGACTTTATTTAAATCACGAGACTGGGAGATTACTGACTGTATATTCTAACATTCTGCTTCTCGATCTTCTCATAGGGAGGGGCGGGAGTAAGGTTGTATATTAAACTTGACAGTCTTTGTACATAGAGTTTGTGCTTAGTTACATAAAAAATGGAATTTGATAACAAGGCTATCTTACATAGATGGCAAATTAATTTCTAGAAAATGAGAAACCGAAAGAAATTTCAACCCGGGCCGAGACGGCGGGTCAAGGTCGCTTGATGGGTGTTGGGGGGGGGGGTGTCCTGGTCACACCGGGACATATGGTGAGCCCAGTAATGGTTCTATCATGTAAGAGATCGGGTCACCTACCTTGCAAATAAAATGAGACGAGTAGACGTCGAAGCTGTCTCCCAGGTTGAGATGAACTTTGTCGAATGTAATGGGCGTTTTCTGAGGGACCGGTCCCAGCGGCTCGCTTCGGGTCACCGTAAAGGCAATGCGTGCTGGCTGCTCACCCTTGGGGCCTCGCATTCCTTGTTCGCCTGCGGGGCCTAAATATATATTAACAAAAATTACGAAGCATTCAATCGTTAGTTGTCCATCTTCCAAGTGTTTACTGTCAACATTACACAATTTCAGCAGAAAGGAATAGTCTTGACACTGCTTACGATTACTTATGTCCTACTATAGACACACACATCTACACTAGCTGCTCATATGCGTCAACAGGCGCCCCCCCCCCGGCCCCCGCGCGATCCGGCCGTTGGTGGAACTTTTCGTTTATTGTAGGGTTTAGGAAGGAAAATGACTTTGCGGGACCCCAACAAGAGTTTCGACATTTTAAGAAATTCTTCATTACGTATGATTTCTAGACTTTGAATACCCCCCCCCCCCAACTCTTTTTATGTGGTCACAATCAATCAATAAAATACTATCTTTCTAGTGATCTTCAATTACCATCTTATTTTTTAAAAAAATAATTGAAATGAACTGTTTACCTCATCCCAAAAATTCTTAGACCCGATGTACTATTTTTGTTTTAAATGTATTACATCACCAGAGGTAGCTTATGATCGCACACTAAAGATCATTTCAAGGCAGGGGTGCATTGCCATTAAGAAAAAAAAATCAGATCCCACTAAATTGTATTTTTAAATAGAGGTCCCAATGTTAATAAAACATGTCAACACACCCGCACCACTGTCTCCAAAGAATTGTAACGTTATTTAAACACACTTCAAATGTATTGAAATAACGTCACGTTTTTGGAAACAATAATAAAAAATAGCTGTTAAAAGACATTGTCTGTCAATGACACTTCAAATGTATTGAAATAACGTCACGTTTTTGGAAACAATAATAAAAAAAATAACTGTTAAAAGACATTGTCTGTCAATGATACTTTATAAAAATAGAATAAATGGAATCCAAATTTTAAAAAATCCACATCATCCACCACATCAATCCAAGATATTTTCTGTTTTGATATGGATTTAAAAAAAATTAAAATAGGAATTATAAGCTTCCATCGTCTAGACTCGAGAGGACTTAACTGTGTTCTGGGATAGAAGGATTTGTTTGTGGTCAACCGTGAAGGGTTAGGTGAGATCACAAGGCTTAAGGCGCATTCTTACAGAATTGATGAAACCTTTCAGTGGACTGATTGATGGGAGGTCCACTGCTGTCTGTCTATGGCCGGGAACCCTCTACGGGTGTCTGTCTATGGCCGTTAACCCGACCTAGATTTACTGTCTACTGTTGTCTGTCTATGGCCGTGAACCCTCTAATGGTGTCTGTCTATGGCCGTGAACCCTCTACTGGTGTCTATCTATGGCCGTGAACCCTCTACTAGTGTCTGTCTATGGCCGGGAACCCTCTACTGGTGTCTTTCAATGGCCGTGCACTCGACCTAGATTTACTGTTTACTGGTGTCTGTCTATTTTTGTGATTGCTTATAGCAGCTTTACTTTTTGAACTTTGATTAGTTAAATCTACTTGAAAGCCGCTGTATGCCTAGATCAAGGTTGTGTGGGCCAAGATTAGGGGCTCTTGATTATTTTTGTTTCATATACCCTCTCGTAGTCAAAACTGATATTGATATGAAGTTGTTTAAATTTCTGCTACTATGTCCAACTCAAATAGATCCACTCACCTACTGGCCCTTGGGGTCCCAGATCACCTTTGACCCCTGGTAACCCAGTCGGACCACAGTCTCCTTTGCTGCCTTTTCTTCCTCGGCTACCTTTAGGGCCCACAGGGCCAGTTTCACCTCGCATACCTGGGTTACAGATAACATTAGAAAGGTAACTCAGCCATGATTTATCTTTGATTGGTTATAATGACGATAAAGGAGATCAATATATTGAACACACATATAACATTTGTGGTGGAAATTTCATTTTTTGAACATGCCTTGAATGTTTTATTTCTAATACATCGTACCTGTAAAGCCTTTGCTGCCCAGCTCCCCCTTTTCACCCTTTCCTCCCATCTGACCATCCTGACCCCTCGTCCCGTGGTGGCCAGGTAGCCCAGGGATGCCCTGGGGCCCAGGTAAACCCCGACAGCAGTGGTTGCATTGGTCATCACTCTTGTGACTGTTGTAGTAGGTGGCCGCGTGTAGAACTACGGGCAGCAGGAGACCGACCATCAGAACTGACACTGACAATACTGACATGTTCACGGTACCTGTGGGGGGAAGTCATGGTTTAATGAATCAGGGGCTCTCACTTTGACACAGCAACGCAGTCTTAAGTGACTTCTGACCATAAAACAGGTCTCGCTACAACAATTGTAAATTTTCCCCCAGACCTTTCTACGTTATTCCTATTAAAAAAAAAAAATTACATTTCCTGGTGTCTGTCTATGGCTTTGAACTCGACTCAGATTATTAAACACCAATAATGCTCGACTCTGATCATTGGTGGTATGCAGTAACGGTTTGGATCGAACCGAACACAACAAACTCGAGCCCTGTTGACAACCGAACTAAACCCATACGACTTAAATGTCACATAGTATAGTATAGATAGACCGAAGGAATTTGTCGCAAACTTGTGTTAAAGCAAACATGTTAAACGAATGTAGCACAACACTCCTTAAGTCAGAAATTAAAACTAGAAAATCACGATTGCAAAATAATTTTTTAAAATAAACCAAGTGATATTTTTAAAATCATCCACATACCCCCTTCCCTTTTTTTAATACCCCCCCCCCCAAACTCTTTTGCGCATGTGCTTGACTCGAATTAATGCGTGCTAAATTATACAACACTATAGAGCCGACTCTTTTTCCTCCAAAAATTAAAACTATAAAATCACGAATGCAAAAAAATTTTTTAAAATAAACCAAGTGATATTTTTAAAATCCTCCACCTACCCCCTTCCCTTTTTTTAATACCCCCCCCCCCCAAACTCTTTTGCGCATGTGCTTGACTCGAATTAATGCGTGCTAAATTATACAACACTATAGAGCCGACTCTTTTTCCTCCAGTGTCAGTAACATTTATCGTTATAAAAAGACACACAGTTGTAATTGTGTGTACATCTAATACTCAACGTGTATAAGAAAAGTCTCAGCGAACATTCTCGCCTGAGATGATTGAAGAGCCATTTCCGATAGTCCTTTCAATAAGCACGAAGCAATAAACAATCCCAATACAAGTAATACACCTGTATGTTTCCCTATTTTTTTCCCCCATTGAATATTAAGAGACCCGCGCGTTGATTTATTTAATAGAGTATTTATAAATCCGGATGTACTGTGATAGCTAAAGAAAAAATGTATTTGCTTCCCTTTACTGCATTTCAATGGAAACACTAATGTTTATAAAATGTTATTAAAAAAAAAAGTTGACACCAAACTCATTTTCAATTGTGACCATTGACCGAACGCGCTAAACGTTCAGTTGTTGCCGAGCTGAACTTCTTAAAGCGGGTTCGATTTCCATCTCTAATATACGGCAGACATGAACATCACATACGAGTTTTCCCAGATCAACATTCAAAGTGAAAATTATCACTAAATGGGATTTTCCCCAGATGCTTTCCAATAAAAACAAGCAAACGAAATAACAGGAAACCAAAATAAAAAGAACAAGCGTATAAGGTTAAATAATTTTGAAAAAGTATTTCTTTTCGTGGTCCATGGGTCACTGAGGTCACATTTAACAACTCCAATTCGTCCCCACGGTCCTGGAGTTGTCTTTTCTGTTTTAAATAAAAACAAATAATGAATTATGGCGTAGACTTTCTGTTGACAACTGGGCTGTCTGTTAAATGACAACGGAGCTGTCTGTTATAGACAACCAAGCTGTCTGTTAAATGACAACTTAGCTGTCTGTTATAGACAACTTAGCTGTCTGTTAAATGACAACGAAGCTGTCTGTTATAGACAACTAAGCTGTCTGTTAACTGACAACTTAGCTGTCTGTTAAATGACAACTAAGCTGTCTGTTAAATGACAACTAAGCTGTCTGTTAAATGACAACTAAGCTGTCTGTTAAATGACAACTAAGCTGTCTGTTAAATGACAACTAAGCTGTCTGTTAAATGACAACTAAGCTGTCTGTTAAATGACAACTAAGCTGTCTGTTAACTGACAACTTAGCTGTCTGTTAAATGACAACTAAGCTGTCTGTTAAATGACAACTAAGCTGTCTGTTAAATGACAACTAAGCTGTTATTTAAAATGTTCACACACTTGTACACCCCGACCCTTTCCCCATAAAATCGAGTGTTTGTATGTATATATGTGTGTGTGTGCGCGCGTAGCCGATATAGCGATCAGTGTGACATGCACGTGTTTTTAAAAGGACGATCTGATTGGACAGAGACACAAGCTTCGTCTGGCCCACAATTTTCGTGGCAAGCCGAGACTCGAAAGTACACAGATCTCTAGCATCAACGACAAATATTGATTTAAGCTCGATTACCGAAACTGATGAAAAGTGTCGGCCTGGAACTGGGGTGAACTCACGTTTGGTCCACTCAAGAAGATGGGACATTTCTTTACGTTTGAATACCAACCAAAAAAAAACCCAAAACAAACTGGTTGGTTGGTATGTGGCAGAGATTGATTGTGTGTGTGTGTTTTGTTTGGTTGTTGAGTTTGGGGGGGGGCGCAACTACGACAGTCGTGTTGATCTCTATTTGTTTCCAAGAATTGATAGGAACTTGTATCAGTTATACGGGAATTTCAGGAAATGAACTAGTTAACATGTTCAGATTAAGGCTGGATTTTATTTTACAATTCCCACCCCACGATTCTTCGTGTCAGAAGTATCTATTTCAAATCCTTTTATATTAGTTTTGCTTGTGTTCGTGGCTGGCTTGTTGGCAAAATCCTGGGACGGCTAATCGACCCACTTCCCGTCAACCTATGGAGCTCAAACTTGTCACATACACTCGCCTATAAAATTTTAAATTTTGAATGTGAAGCAACTAACGGCAATGAACTTGAATATGAAGCAAATAATGGCAATGAACTTGAATATGAAGCAAATAATGGAAATGCACTTGAATTTGAAGCAACTAATGACAAACGAATTTGAATATGAAGCAACTAATGACAATGAACTTGAGTATGAACCAGCTAAACGCAATGAACTTGAGTATGAACCAGCTAATAGCAATGAACTAGAGTATGCACCAGCTAATGCTGAAAAATGCTGGAACAACAATTGTGAATCATCTTAATTAAAACAACAACAACTGAAAATGCGTATTCCTCATCAAATTGCACAGCGGCCCTTTTGGGAATCCCAGCTCCCCAATTAAATCTTTCCCAACTTTGAGAACCACTGATCTACATGTTTAAAATTATTGGAAACTACCCTGGAAGAAAACCCCCCCCCCCACAAAAAACCCAGTAATAACAAACACTCACACACGTCCTCACTCCCTCACACATGTCCTCACTCCCACACACACGTCCTCACTCCGTCACACACGTCCTCACTCCCTCAGACACGTCCTCACTCTCTCACACACGTCCTCACTCCCTCACACACGTCCTCACTCTCTCACACACGTCCTCACTCCCTCACACACGTCCTCACTCCCTCACACATGTCCTCACTCTCTCACACACGTCCTCACTCTCTCACACACGTCCTCACTCCCTCACACACGTCCTCACTCCCTCACACATGTCCTCACTCCCACACACATGTCCTCACTCCCACACACATGTCCTCACTCCCACACATATGTCCTCACTCCCCCCCCCCCCCCCCCCCCCCCCCCCCGTCCCCCCCCCCCCCCCCGCCCCCCAAATTGCCCCCCCCCCCCCCCCCCCCTACACGCACTCACTCGTGCTCACACTCTCTCCAGTGCCGCGTAACTCATTCTCATTAAGAGGGGCTGGTCCAACAACTGGCCCGTCCAACAACCGACCGGTCCATCAACCGGCCCGTCCAATAACCGGCCCGTCCAACAACCGGCCCGTCCAACAACCGGTCCACCGAGTCCTGTTTCGTGAGCTTTGCAATCGTTTCACCAGAATATAAAATGATGATTGAAAGAGTAACACTATGATTGAAATGTAACACAGTGGTTGAAATAGTAACATGATGATTGAAATAGTAACATGATGATTGAAATAGTAAAACGATGATTGAAATGTTAACACAGTGATTGAAAGAGTAATACAATGATTGATGTGTGAAGCTTCATAATTCCAGGTTCTTGATAATGGTAACCTCGTCATTTTCATCATTCATATGAAGCCTTAAAATTCCTCTTTCACAGAAGCTTATATGTACAAACATATCTGTACAAACGTATGTGTACAAACATGTGTACAGATATGTGTACACATTTATAGGTGTAAGATGACATTATTCAAATTTTAACGACACTGATTTAAATCAATAGCTGATTAAAATTCTTAATTAATTTAAGAGAAAACCCTTCATCCCACACAAAACCCATTTGACACCATAGAAACCCCTTTGACACCATAGAAACCCCTTTGACACCATAGAAACACTTTGACACCATAGAAACACTTTGACACCATAGAAACACTTTGACACCATAGAAACACTTTGACACCATAGAAACACTTTGACACCATAGAAACACTTTGACACCATAGAAACTACTTTGACACCATAGAAACCCCTTTGACACCATAGAAACCCCTTTGACACCATAGAAACACTTTGACACCATAGAAACACTTTGACACCATAGAAACACTTTGACACCATAGAAACTACTTTGACATCATAGAAACACTTTGACACCATAGAAACACCTTTGACACGATAGAAACACCTTTGACATCATTTAAAACACTTTGACACCATAGAAACCACTTTGACCCCATAGAAACTCCTTTGACACCACAGAAACTACTTTGAAACCATACAAACAACTTTGACACCATAGAAACTACTTTGACACCATAGAAACACTTTGACACCATAGAAACACCTTTGACACGATAGAAACACCTTTGACATCATTTAAAACACTTTGACACCATAGAAACCACTTTGACCCCATAGAAACTCCTTTGACACCACAGAAACTACTTTGAAACCATACAAACAACTTTGACACCATAGAAACTCTTTTGACACCATAGAAACTCCTTTGACACCATATAAACCACTTTGACACCATAGAAACTCCTTTGACACCATATAAACCCCCTTGACACCATAGAAAACACTTTGACACCATAGAAACCCCTTTGACACAATAGGAACACTTTGATACCATAGGAAACCATTTGACACCACATAATACCTTACGACCGCAAAGAAATCACATTTACCCCACAGAAAACACTTGATTCTCACAGAAAAACCATTGCCACCCGAAATTGTTAAAGCAGGACCCATGTAGATCACAATATAAGAATATAATATTGTTCCAGCAACCATTTATAGATCTCAAATGTAAACGCAGAGTTAGTATTTGAACTGTATAACTCATGAAATAAATGAATTACAACGATGGTATAATACAAATGTAATTAAATATTGATCTTAAAAAAACAAAATAAAAAAAATAATTAGAAAAAATAATTTACTGTTGTCAGTTAGCTTTAACTTTGAGTTTCTTTAAATTGACTATAAATTCCCATTAACTCTGCCAACGAGGAAGCACAGTTTGTTCAGAGATCCCTCAAATAAAACGCGTAGCCTTTCACAAAAGCACAACTTTAGTCTAACAGCGCAACTTTGATCAAATTGTCCAAAATTCAGGTCAAACGGCACAACTTTGGTCAAATTGTCCAAAATTCAGTTCAAACAGCACAACTTTGGTCAAATTGCCCAAAATTCAGGCCAAACAGCACAAATTTGGTCAAATTTTCCAAAATTCAGTTCAAACAGCACAACTTTGGTCAACTTTCCCAAAATTCAGGTCAAACAGCACAACTTTGGTCAAAGTGTCCAAAATTCAGTTCAAACAGCACAACTTAGGTCAAATTGCCCAAAATTCAGGCCAAACAGCACAAATTTGGTCAAACAGCACAACTTTGGTCAAACAGCACAACTTTGGTCAAATAGCACAACTTTAGTCGAACAGAAACATCAACTTTGGTCAAACAGCACAACTTAAGTCAAACAGAAACCGCAACTTTGGTCAAACAGCACAACTTTGGTCAAATTGCACAAATTCAGGTGAAACACCACAACTTTGGTCAAACAACACATGGCCAAATTGCACAAATTCAGGTCAAACAGCACAACCTTTGGTCGAACAGCACAACTTTGGTCAAACAGAAACAGCTTTCCTAAAAACATTTAACAGATCCTTTGATTGAAATGTACCGCTAGCCTATTCACAGGCTCACAACGAAAATATTAAAATACCGTAAGACACTCACTCAAACCGACCACTGTAACACCGGCAGCCATTCCAACATCATCGAGGCACACTCACCTTGACCAGTCAGTGTCCGTCCCACCGTATCCTACCGTCTCCCAGTTATCACCAGTCCCGATCCAGCCAAGTGCACGTGAGACCGTGACCAGCTCGTGTAGACGGAGCGATGATGGACACGACGGACACTCGCTCCCGCTTGGATTGAAGCATGACAAGCGACTCTGTGAATCGGTTGTGTCCAAACAAAGTGTACTGGTTTAGATACCGTTACCAAAACGGACTCGCTTCTGTTCCCTTCTATAACAATTGTCCAGGATACTCGCGCCGATATTCAACTTCCAACTGTCCACGTCTGCTGGTAAGGAGTGAATGTGAGAACGAGGCAAACCGCGGGGCTAAAGCGAGGGAAAAAAAAAGTTGACACGCTAACACGAAATTTACTAACATAAAAATTTCACTATTCCTTTGTCTCAACCAACCATTTACTTACTAAACTGTAACACACCGCGAGATGATTTACATCATTTAAAATGGGGACGGATTTAGTTGAGCTAGCCGAATGTTCAGTTGAGTTTGCCGAATGTTCGGTTGAATTTGCCGAATGTTCATTTCTTGTTAGGTCCTATTTGTCCCGCACACTTCAGAGGCGTCCCCATCCTCCTCCCCCCCCCACTCAACCCAACAAGCCCTCTCGAAAACTAAAATGCACGCTCATTAATTTCTAAGAAAAGCCCTCCCTCCCTTTTAGATCATCTCCAACGCGTCTGCTGAAACGGTTCCTTTTTATCTCACTTGAAGCGCTCACGAAAATCACAGAACCAAATAACCCGCCCTACAAACCGCAGGCGCCGTTTATACAGAACTTAACTAAAAGGCACTCGTCTGTTAAAGTATCGATGGCTGCTGTGCTGTTATCCATGAAATCATATTCACTTATAAGCAACTCTTTTCCCTTACTTTTAATGAGGTTCAATGCATGAAATGTCTTATTCTACCAATATGTTCCTCCCTCTCCCCCCCCCTTTTTTTTTTCCTCCGTTCACTCACTCTTCTCTCGATCTCAATGAGACCTCGTCCTATCGTCGGTTCCCAGCCCTATACCGACAAAACAATTTTGTCTGCCCCGACGCTAGCGCTTCTCTCGGGGGTTGGGGGGGGGGGGGGAGTCGTCGTGGAAAAAAGACCGACAGACGGTTCTTTATGAAACGGCCAGTGATTGGCTGCCAGTCTTGAATTATCGGGATATAATCCGTTAAATAAAATCTGGGTCTGGTCTATCAGTGTATATGCCGTAACCCAGAGTGCTTTGTTTCCCTCCCTCGTTTCCTCCCTCGGATTGTCTTCAGTACAAAACGTTTCTTGTAGGTCTCCTCACAGCCGACGTTCAGGGCAATGGTCTTGATGACAATGACATTAACCGCGTCTGTTGTTTGGGTTCACACCGTGCGCGTATAAAAGGATTAGATTTAGTGTGTATACATTGACGTGTACGTATCAAAGGAAGTGTAGTGTGCACATTGAAGTGTACGTGAATACATTGAAGTGTACGTGTGCACATTGAAGTGTACGTGAATACATTGAAGTGTACGTGTGTGCATCGAAAGACCAACGACTCAAGCTGATCGGGTTGATAACAACTACAACAGCTGACCCAAACATTGTTATATATTATTTGGGAGAAGAGGTCCGCATCTGAGGATGTGGTCAACTATTCAACAAAAAGAGACAGCTATCCTAATGTCTGATGCACGCAGTGATTTTCTTAACTTATTAAAATTCACTTTCGCATGTATCTTGTTTGTCTTTCTTTTCCCAGCAGGGCTTTTTGATTATTGCCCCCTTTAAGTCTCCTCACCAAATACGTTCATCGCATGCCCAACAGCCAGTCTGGGGTAGCAATATCAGGGCCAGGCGCGACGGTGACACACATCACAATTTGGACGCTGTGTTGTCAAAAATCGCTGCCGTTCTAATATGTGTGTGTGGGTGTGTGTTTCTGTGTGGTTTAGGGGGGTATTTTGGATGAAAGAATGGTCGTAGAAATTACGCGATGGTGGATAAGAATATACCCCATTACCAGACCTTTTTACCCCCAAACTCGTACATACCATTACAAAATCGTTCAATACGTGATCTTAATAGTAAAAGATGAACATACAGTATATATAATGTATACATCTCAAAATCGTACATGGTAAGCCTAAATCGTAAGAGTAAACAGATTTGCCCACTACTGATTACTTTTCTTTACAAATTACCTTCCTGCCAACCCACACGCAAACCCACCATTTCTTTCTTTCTCCCTTTCTTTCATTAATTCTTTCTGTCTTTCCACAGAAATGCTGGCGTATTTCGCGTTTGACAGGATTTGTCCTATTTCCGCCGGGTGGGGTCGGAGAAGGGGGGCATGTCCCCAAAAAGTCACACCTGCTCCACCATTGCCGTTTTTCTCCTGTTCTGTTTGTTCGAAAAACAAATTCAGCCCTTACAGAGTTTATAGTGACACATTTGGTGCCTGCTTCAATCGCCTACAACTTCACAATTAAGAGAAAAGCCAGCCCAGGTCAACACAATTTGTTCAGAAAATGTAAAGCTAAAGAGGATGTGGGTCTGTGGGAGATTGCTAAAGAGGATGTGGGTCTGTGTGAGATTGCTAAAGAGGATGTGGGTCTGTGTGAGATTGCTAAAGAGGATGTGGGTCTGTGTGAGATTGCTAAAGAGGATGTGGGTCTGTGTGAGATTGCTAAAGAGGATGTGGGTCTGTGGGAGATTGCTAAAGAGTATGTGGGTCTGTGGGAGATTGCTAAAGAGGATGTGGGTCTGTGGGAGATTGCTAAAGAGGATGTGGGTCTGTGTGAGATTGCTAAAGAGGATGTGGGTCTGTGTGAGATTGCTAAAGAGGATGTGGGTCT